TATATATATATATATATATATATTGAATCGCTTTAACTAGGGATGGATCTAAGGGGCGGAAGAGTGTTTACCCGAACCTCCTTCACCAAAAAATTACACTATATATATAAAGCAAAATTTATTTTGGCTCTATATATAATATTTTGAATTTCTTTGATACTAATTACTGCCCAGAAGCATAGTTCAGTGATTGGGGTTTGAATTCAAAGGTCAATAGTTAAATTCCTACTCGCCACAATCTCTTTTAAGTTTTTAACTTTTTCCTTGTTTGAAGGTTTGAACCCCTTATACTGAAATTTTGCTTCTTAGCGTGTTTATTTTTTTTATTTTTTAAATCCCCATAATAAAAATTATTTTTTCATCTTCAAAGATAAAAATCCGAGGCCTTTTATTAAGGTCCCACCACCCCCTTCAAATTCTCAAATTTTCCCTATTTAAGATGTTTGCTTATCCACTTTTCAAAAACAGTCCTTGATTTGCTCAAACTCTTTTCCTTTTATCTCTTCCCTTTCTCTTCACGTATCTTCTACTTAAGCCTTTTCTCATTATTATACGCTCACCCCTTTTTCTCATTCTACAATAAAGTTTGAATTTTTTTTTAATAGAAACTTTATTCTGTGTTGTGAAAATGGTTATGCAGCGTCAAGAAAACATTTTGGTGACAGGAGGGGCTGGTTTTATTGGAACACATACTGTTGTTCAGCTTTTGAATGAAGGGTTTAAGGTTACCATAATTGATAATTTCCATAATTCTGTTGAAGAAGCTGTTGATAGAGTCAGAGAATTAGTTGGCCCTCAACTTTCTCAGAATCTTGAATTCCATTTGGTATGTTTTTTTCTACTTTCTTGAATTTTGTTTGATCAAAACCAACACCACCCTTGTTCTGAAACCAAAAATGGAAAAAGAAAAAGTTAGAAATGAAAGAATTCTATACATTTCTGGGGTTTTTATATAAAAGGGGTTGATAAGTACACAAGAATTATTCGTTTTTTAGTTGAGTTATGAGTTCTTGGCACAAACTTTTTATAGATGGTCATATGTTTACACGAGAATTTTGTATTTATTGAAACTTGTTTAGTGCTTTGTTTTCTTTTCCTTTTTTATTTTTTGGTTTAAAGTTGCCCTGTTTCATGTTGTTCTCATCTTCTGAAAAAGGTAAGCGTGACCAAGTGGCTGTTGCTGTATATATGCCTTTTTGTCCCTTTTTTTTCCTTTATTTGTTCTGTGATTTTGCAACTAGGTCTTTTTAATCCTCGGTAGGAAAAAAGTAAGTAATCTCACAGTAAATACCCCAGTGTTTATCCCATATATCAGCTTATCACGGAATGGGAGCCTTGGCATAACTAGTAAAGTTGGTGTCATGTGATCAAGAGATCACGGGTTTGAGCCGTGGAAACAGCCTCTTGCAGAAATGCAGAGTAAGACTGTGTACAATAGACTCTTATGGTCCGACCCTTCCTCGGACCCCGAGCATAGCGAGAGCTTATTGCACCGGGTTGCCCTTTTATATCAGCTTATCATGGTTAAGTGATTAGATGAGGTGACATTTATCAACTTATCAGGGTTATGTGATTAAATGAGGTGAAAGTATATAATAAGTTAATCATGGTTAAGTGATACAAGTTTAGTGCAAAAACATGTTATGCATCTATTGGCTTGGTGTATATACTGGCTGTGGGTGAGTTTTTACCACTTTATCTTCCTCAAATAAACAATAGTAAATTGGTTCTTTCACTTGCTTTGGGATTTCATCTTATTTGTTTCTTGGTGGCAGGGTGATATCAGAAACAAAGATGATTTGGAGAAGTTATTTTCTAAAAGAAAGTATGCAAATCTCCTGCTTTAAAATATCTCCAGCTGTTATAATTTCCTTTATATGCATTTCTATGTAGTCTTTGATTGATTGTTTTGCAATATATATCGAAATAGGTTTGCTGCAGTGGTCCATTTTGCGGGACTTAAGGCTGTTGGGGAGAGTGTTGATCATCCCTTTCTTTATTTCGATAACAATCTGATTGGATCAATAACTTTGTATTCAATCATGGCCAAATATAATTGTAAGAAGGTATGTCTTTTGATATATTATTGGTTTCTCTTAAATATGTATATTAAAATAGGTTACGCATTCAGGGCAACTTGGAACCTGCTATATTCATCATGTTGCTACCCTTCTACTTATAATTTTGGTAGTATTTGAAGGAAAATAGTAAATATGAGCTTCTTTCAAGAACTCATTTAGCCGTGAAAAGTAGAGAACTTTTGAATTACACGGTTAATGTAGAGTTGGTTGGTCAGGTTGATAACTTTTTAAATTTGATTATGTGAAATTGCAGTTGGTTTTCTCATCATCTGCAACAGTTTATGGTCAGCCTGAAAAGATTCCGTGTGTGGAGGATTTTGAATTGAAGGCTATGAATCCTTATGGTCGGACAAAGGTTAGTATTGTCAATAATTCTCTTGTTATTCTGAAGTGATTAAAGATCGTTCAATTGATCCTATCTCATTTTGTAGAGTAAGAACTATTTAGTTACTTCTTCTCACTAACGTGTGCTTACTTCCATTTACTTAGCTATTTCTTGAAGAGATTGCTCGGGATATTCAGAAGGCAGATGCTGAATGGAATATCATTTTGCTGAGATATTTCAACCCGGTAGGAGCTCATGAAAGCGGCAAGCTTGGGGAAGATCCAAGGGGCATCCCCAACAATCTTATGCCTTACATTCAGCAAGTAGCTGTTGCTAGATTGCCGGAGTTAAATGTATATGGCACCGACTATCCTACACCTGATGGTACTGCGGTAGGTACTTTTGGCTGATTTTTGTAACTTTAGCTTTTCTGTATGAAGAAAACAAAGAAACAGAACTATTAACCATCGTACTAGCATTCAAGAAGCAGGAAATGACGAGTGAGCCGTACTTAAGAGTTGATTCAATTTATGGACTAGTTATTTATGTTGAAGAATAAGACAGAAATATAATGGAAATATATCTAAGTAGATTTATGGCATGAACTTGCTAGCGTCAACATGTTTCATTCCATACTTAAGACTGATAAACCATTTATAATCTCTTGCTCGCCAGATACGAGATTACATCCATGTTATGGACTTGGCAGACGGTCATGTTATTGCACTTCAGAGACTTCTCAAGCAGAATGACTTAGGTAAGTAAATCCTTTTCAAAGTGAAGTTCAGCTCTGAATTTTTTTGACTTGTCTGCGAGAAAATGATACGTTTCTTTATATTTTCAATTGAAGACTATGCTCTTTCATATTTACCTATTGAAGGTAACATTTTTTTTCTTCTCTTTGATGTTTTGCATTAGGTTGTGTTGCATATAATTTGGGAACTGGTAAAGGCAAATCTGTGCTAGAGATGGTTGCTGCATTTGAAAGAGCATCTGGAAAGGTCTCTCTATCTCTCCCGCTCTCTTAAAATAAATAGAGAAGTTGAATTTAATTGAACAAGCTCTTCATCTGTTATATGTTTTGAACTTTCAGAAAATTCCACTTAAAATGTGTCCAAGAAGGCCAGGAGATGCCACTGCTGTTTATGCATCAACCGAAAAAGCTGAGAAGGAGCTTGGTTGGAAGTAAGTAGTAACTCCCCTTCCCCCCCNGATGTGCAGGGACCAGTGGAAATGGGCAAGCCAAAATCCGTGGGGTTACCAATCAAAACCTTGAAATGTTATACAAGTAATAGTTGGAGGACTCAGATCACACCAACATTGCAAATGCTCTTTTAAACTTTATAATACTAAGTTTCTTAAGAGTTGGATCTGTAGTCAACATCCTAATATTTTACATTTTCTGCAAAACATAAACGTATCTGGGGGCTAAAACTGTTCAATATGCAATAATTGCTATTGATGGTTATGTATTGGTGAATTCTGTTCTTGTTTTCCCCCTAAATGGTTTTATGGGGGCTTAATTGTGCCTCCTATCTATGACCCCCTTCAACCAATTGCTTTACTGATTGTAATTCTTCCAAAAAGAGTAAAGAATGTGGTTATTTATTTTATTGAAGGTGACAGTAGCTGTGTGGAGACTGAACCAAGGTCAAGATTGGAGATTTATATAGCTTGGGATTAGGTTGTACTGAATTAACAGGCAGGCAATATATACATGCTTCTCATCAACAGAGGCAGTTTCAGCATTTAAGTTCAATGGGTTTTAACATTTAAGGTTTTCGGATTGAACCCGTATTTCTAAAGTTAGGGGTTCATATATGATATTTCTTGCAATTATAATGAATTTTTACACTTAAATTTGTGCCCCGTTAAAAATACTGGTTCAGATAAATTCGGCACAAATATGTTGCATCCGCCTCTGCTTGTCAAGCACACTTACATCATGTAAGTTACATGTAGTATATACGATTTTGAGCTACCTCAAAGTTTATTTTAACACAAGTATAATTGAACTTTTAAGCTAGAAATTTCTGTATCCATTTCGTCAGTTATTTACTTCATTCGGGTGAAATCATGGTTTATAACTTGACTTAAACAAATAAGGTAGGGGTAAGTTTTGCGTACACACTACCCTTTTCAGACCTCTCACTTGTGGGATTACGGGTATGTTGTTGCTGTAAGTTGACTTAAACATAACATCTGGCTCAGTGTAAACAATTGAGAAATGCCTTCATTCTGGTGAAGCTACGTTTATAGTTGACTTAAGACATCCTTTTCTATCACCTGCTTCCATTTAAATTTAGTAGTGGTTAACCAACTATCCTTTACTTGAGACGATATATCACCAGCCAGTAATCAGTGTGTAACTTATGCACTTTTCTTCAATTGGCTGCATAACAATCCAAGACTTAGTTTTTCCTGCTATTGATTTTGACTAGGTTCTTGACCATCAAATTGCTCTTAGAACACACTGTTCTTTTGAGTAACATCATTTGCTGAATAGTTGAAAAAAAGAGATAATAATGAAAGAAGGGAATGTGCTGATGATTGCTCAAAGAATGGTATCTGATGCATCTCCTTCATTAACTCCAAGATCTCCAGCTATACAACCACCTTTGCCAACACCATCACCATATTCGTTTTCTGTGGCATCGACAAGGTTGAGCTCAAGGCCTTCTATTCATACATATGATCTTATCCTCAGGTCACTGGCACTTCTCTTCTCCTTCATCTCCGCTCTCTCGCTAGCTGCACAAGAAGGGACCAAAAGAAAACGGATCTCCAGCTTCTATGATCACCCAGAATTAACGTAAGAATCAACACTGAGATCCATTCAAATGTCTTTTTCTGGTTGTAGAGGATACTAGAATTTAAACTAAGAACAATCAGTGCAATGGTTTTGAGAGCAACTTTACACCACTGCAGGTACTGCTTCACAGTAAGCATATTAGTTTTTATCTACTCGGCCTTTCAACTCTTCAAAAGAGTTTGTGACATTGCTTATAGAGGAGTCTTGATCTCTGATATGACCTCTGACTACCTCAGTTTCATATTCGATCAGGTACTTATTAACTTCAATTAGCTAGTGATTTCTTCCGAGTACAAAACCATAGTATCTGATTCACATACAACTATGACCATAAAAATGGTTGCACCCATTCCTGTAGTTAAAACAAGTATCAAGAATTCTCTTCTTCTTTTTTCCCCTGGATGTCACCCGAAAAAGTGAATATATGCTCAATTAACCACCAAAGCTAAATCTTTATGCTGAATAAAGAAGAGGAGTAGACAGTATCTTATTTGACTATCAAGCAACCTAAATTTCAACTTTTCTGAATGCTTTTTTCGAGTTCTCCTCTACATTCACTGCATATAAATCTTTCAAAAACACAAATTCTCATAAGCTGAGTGTTGCACAGTTGGCAGGTTACCTCCTTGTGTCTTCTTCTTCAGTAACCATACCAGTCATTCAACAGATGAATAGCCAAAGCTCACTCTGGAAGGCGGCTGTTGTTGCTGTTTGCATGTCATTTAGTGCTCTCATGGTCATTGCAGTGTCCGCTCTCTTATCAGGCTACAAGCTGTGCAAAAGGATCATATGGTGATGCACTGGGAATTGAACGTGTAGCCTTCAACTCCAGGATTGACAAAGCTAGAGTGTAAAATGGGGACATAATTTCTTCACCACTTTTTTGTTTCAGTCGAGAACGTTTTGATCCACTTGAAGCATCACAAGTAGCAATTGGTGGGATATACCAACTATCTCCAACTACGCTAATGGTCTGGTAGAAGTTGATACAAAGAGGGTTCAGAAGTATATAGCAAAGAAGAGATGATTTTGGTAGAAAATATCCATATTTTAATTGTTGTGTCGTTGTCATGGTGAATAAACAGTATAGCTAGTACAGTATAAGCTAGCTTTGTGCTTCAATGTAACAGCAACTTACAATTCTATATCTACAGAAAATGTTTTCCTGTATTTCCAATTATGCCCTGAAGACAATAATTAAACAGGACTATATTTCCTTTTCTTCATCGAGAACGAAATTATTATCAATACTATAAAACACTAGCCATTCCATATACCCAAAACAGTCAACCTTGATGAACAAAGAAGTAGGTCAGCTAAAAACCTACTGTTGTCGCCATTTCAACATTAGGAACAATAAATCACATAGTATTTTTCAGCATCTATTTACTAATATCCGGCACATCTAGAATAACAATTGTCTCAGATGACTTACATATATGATTCTAAATAAGTAGAGGTTGAAGCAACTTCTTCACAATACCATCAGATCCAATGTAGACTGCCTCGGCACATTCTGTAGAAGGCAAAATCTCATCTGAATTGACATGTAGTGGCAGGCAACAACATTTCCAGCTCCCACCATTAGTATACAAAATCCAGTTGTCTTTAGTGATTTGACTAGTAAGAATTTGAAAGAAGCATGTGCTATGTAGATTAATCTTCTGTAATGACAAGATTTCCATCAGAAAACTCACAAGCCTGAATGGAGAGGGAAAGCTGCTTCTGCAGTTTTTTTACTACAAAGACTTCTGGCTCCTCACATATGGTCACTACCGTGCCCTCGCGGCCAAGCCTACCTGTACGGCCAGCTCGATGTGCATAATGAACTGAGTCAGTAGGTAAGCCCAGATTAACTACAAGATCACATTCAGGTAAATCCAAGCCTCTAGCTGAAAGCTCATTTGTTAGCAGCACCCTGACCTCCCCATTTCTGAACTTCTTTAAGATAGTTGATCTTACAAGTTTGCTGAGATCACCATGTAACTCTGCAGCTTTCATACCACGAGCTTCTAGTTTGAAGACAGCATCTTTTAGTTGTTTTGTGTGGTTCATAAAAGCTATCACACACTTGGCATCCAGAGCATGCACACACCTTCTCAACATATCAACTTTGTGCTGTATCCTGGTAATAGTGTAATAATGCTGCAAATTAGGGGGTAAGCTCTGAACACTAGGCATAACTTGTACATTTGAGCTTGAACTAGCAGTAGGTGGTGTTCCTGGGATATTAACAGGTCCAGAAGGAGGGACAGACTCGAGCGGGACGACTTTATTGGCTTGGACGAGAAGTGGATCGCAACCCCAACTTCTTGCTGCTCTTATAACTGAGAAAGGCACTGTTGCAGACACCATGATAGTCTGACGCGCAGATCGCTTGACAAGTGGACTATTTGACTCTCCCCTGCGTGCACCAGGTCTTCTCCCCACATGGTCTAATATCCGCTGCATGTCCTCCCGGAAATTGACAGCAAGGAGCTGATCAACTTCATCCAATACCAAGTAACGACAACCATGGGTAGGAAGCTTTCCAGCTGCACTAATCTCGGCTATCCGTCCAGGTGTCCCCACTACGATGGCAGGCTTATTTTTCCTCAGAGCTTCCTCCTGTCTCGATCGGTTTGCACCCCCTACAAGCTGCTGGACTAGTTTCTTGTCCGCTGGTCCTAATAGCTTTTCTACTTCCCTGACAATCTGCATGCCAAGTTCCCTTGAAGGAGCTACTATTACTGCTTCGATGCCCACTTTGTTCCCAGTTTCAGAGCCATTTGAAATCTCCCCACTCAATGGACCAACTTGAGACAGTATGGGAAGGACATAAGCTAGTGTTTTTCCTGAACCTGTGTATGACTGAATCACAACATCGTGATTTTTAAGAACAGTTGGAACTGCAGCAGCCTGAACATCAGTTGGAACCATAAAGCCTTCCTTCTCTAGCCTTTCGACCAACAAAGGTGGAAGGCCAAGCTCTGAAAATGATTCTGCAGCAAATGGTGCAGTCTTTATATCTATGGGGTTTCTCTCCTTAATCAATCCTGTTTTATTGCCACTAACTTTTTTCTTCACTCTGCTCTTGGGGACCTCAATTGTTGAAACACCCTGCTGGAGCTTATTTTTCTCATTTGCACTTACTGTCTTAACTTCATTCTTCAATCCAAGGCTAGCTAGAGTGAGGGATCCACTGTCACTTAAAAAGCGGACCTTGTCTCGAAATGGAGCTATCCTTGTAAACTGTGAAACATTCCTCAAAGATAAAGAATCACCAACTAACAAGAGGGCCCTTGTTAGCACTAAAACAGGCATGATTTTTCTAGCACTTGTTTTCTCAGTTGCTATCTCAAGGAAGAACTCAAATTTGATATGACTATTTACAATGCCAAAATCCTCTTAAGCAGTGTACTATCCTCACCGATCAGACTGCAACAAGAACGTTAAAATATCAGATATAAATAACAACGTTAGGACCTATAACAAGTAAAATTAAGATTTAGCAAATCAGCATTCTTTTTACTAGAAATTGAGATGTAGTGACATAGGTATGTCTCTTTTTTGCTGTAATATCCCTCTTTGAGAAAAAAAAAAGTTCAAACTAATATAGAAAGCAAAAAGCATCAGAGCGAAAGGCATATGAAACATAACTCAATCAATCAATCAACCAACTATGTCTCAATAACAACTAGTTGGTGTCTGTTATATGAAACGCACCGTAGGTGCTGAGTGGTGCCTTCCCCTCCCTAATTAAACAGAGTTCTTCGTGCTTATCTCATTCCAATATTAAATTTTGTCTTTTAAGTCCGCGAGCGGAAGAACTGATCTTCAAAAAATAATTTCTGCACTCTTTAAGAGCAAGACCAGATAAGATTGGAAGTAAAGTGAAGCCTGCCAAAGCAGAAACTTTTATAAGTCTCACTAATCATACAGGACTAATTTTTCCATTTGTTGAACACCGAGAAACCAGAAACTACTAAAGCAGACATTTTGTCAAACACATGGCGACCAATCCAACGAAAACTGAACTCAACTCTCATCTCTAACACCTACGCATTTCCACTATAACATTCTAAGTACAGCACTAATAGAATTTTTTTACTTTGTAGAGAGTTAGGTCTTTTACCTTCTTATGCTTGTGTTCTCCACCTTAGCTGCTATCAATCTGCTCGTAGCGAAAGAGAACGATATCCTTATTCTTATCATTCTGATAACAACCAGGTCGACTTATGCAGCACTCGTTCTCACTTGGGCTTATATAAAGGGTCCTTAGTGTCCCTTTTGGGCTACAGCCCAATTTGTTCTTTACAATACCCGGCCCAGTTTCGGAATTTTCCTTTTCGCACTTCAAGATGTATTCCTTTGTTCAATGTTCCTCTTTTGTGGAATTTCGTTTTAGAGAAATGATTATTTTCAAGATATTATAGGAATTGATGTTTGATCCTAGTGCTTAAGAATTAGAGTCGCCAATATAGGCTTGGCCCGTTGGGCCGACCCAGCTCAGCCGGTGATTTAATAGGGTTGAGATAAGATTTTTGGAGCCCATTTAAAAACGAGGCTTTTAAGCCCGGCCCAAGTAAGCCCCGTGGCTCATGAGGCTTGACCGAGGCTGGGTTGGGCTGGCCCGTGAGCTAAATAAACGTATTTAATAAAAATATAAAAAATATAGGTAACTAAAAATAACAAAAAGAGTAGTCCACTCTCAAACTTGTAATATTATTTTATGTGAATTTAAATATTTTTTGTTCTTAAAATTTTAGTTATTTCTTAATGTTTAACTAATTAACTTTGCATATAATTATAGATTTAGATGAAAATAAATATGTTAAGACATCTTTGTTTTATAAGAGGATTCAAATGTGCTTAATAAAGATGATCTGTTGGTGTTGGATATGTCATGAGCACCTTGAAGATATTTTTGAGTAGTTTGTTTTGAGTATTGACTTTTAATGAATGAATATTGTCCTCATTTTTTGTGTTTTATAGTAATCTATTAGAACAATGTCAAAGGTGATTAAGTTTTGCAAAAACTTTCTATCCAACAAGCAACAAGTATGTTTATAGTAGGGGTGTCAAATGGGCGGGTTGGGTCAATTTTGGGCGGGTCAAAATGGGTTGAGTTAATAATTGGGCGGGTCAAATGACTCGCCCAAAAGTTACTTGGGCTAAGATGGGTTGGATCAAGATGGGTTAAAATTCGGGTCATAACCCAACCCGCCCAACTCTTATTAAACTTTAATTAATATGTGTTATTTTTGTAGCAACCCCTTTGGGAGGGTACTACTTAGGAAAACAAATCTAATTTCCTACTTACAAAATATTAAAAGAGATATTAATAAGAATATTTAGAATAATTTTAGTAGCAGAAGCAGGCCCATGCGAAAAGGTTGAAAGTGCAATATATTTTTTTTATATATAAATACACCATAATTTTATTTTAAATGAAATACAATGTCAAAATATTAACACATTAAAGCAATTTTCTAACTGATTTATACAATCATTCAAAATCACCGCAAGTTTATATTGTACATAAATTTTAAACTATCGGGTATATATAAAAAACAAAGGAAACGAGTTTTCTCCTTTTCTACATATTTACAAGAGAAAGTGTAAATTCAGCATATTACAAGTCTTGAGTTATTAATATACCCTAATACAATAAAATAGGTTATAAATTCAAGCTACAAGATTTTGGTCTTTAAAATCCAACAAGCCTTCAAATAACATAAGTGTGACATATATATATATATATATATATATATATATA